CTCAAACCTATCCAAAGCTCGGCTACCTTTTAAAGTAGCGAGTTTTCTCTCCCTGCATCTGTTCAAGCATAGGTGATGGGACCACTTGGTGGAGGTGTTGTGGGGGCATCTAGTCATAGGGTGAGAAGTTGGAGTGGCTTTGCAAGATACGTATTCCATGATTATGAGAATGACATGGTCTATTAGCATCGGATTAGACATACAACAGGTGTATTCTTATGGAGTACAGAGAGACACAAAGTGTGCATGAAAGTGTGCCCAGGGGAGAAATTCTAGCAGGCCATGGCAGCATAGATGGTGGCACCAAGGGAGAGAGTAGAAAGGAAGCCACCAAGGTGGAAGAAAGAGTAGTTTGGAAACCCAACATTTCATAGACTTGGTCCTACCCTCCACCCGGAAAGGGCAGGATACTTCTCAAAGCTAACTTAGCTGTCAGACAGCTCATGAACCGAATGTTCTCCCCCAGTAACCACCTCCATGAACGCCAAGCCCACAGCCCAATATTCCAGGGGATATCCCACTGGTGCATCAACCCAGGCCGTGCTCACCACTCACTAAGACCTGGTAGAACCAATCCGCGTGCCTTGGGCCAGGCTTCTGGGCATGAGATTCCCTCTCAGGAAGCATGGTTCTGAGCAACTGGAAAGCAGGGTGCTGACTGCGGACTTTCCAGACACCGGGCAGGGATTGCCGGTTCAACACTTCCTGAGGGTTTAAGAGGGGGATCTTCAAAAACCTTGTGGTCAATTAAGCCCATCGTGCTTCGAATTCTTCCCTCAATTACCAGCCGAGAGGGCAGCCCGTCTGCTTTCCGCGTTCACCCCGTGGTACTTGGTTCTTTCCTCCATAACCCCCACTGCTCTTTTTCCCCTCAGTAATTTTTCCTCTGAACCACACGGGACCTCTCTGCCTTCTTAACCTTCAGCTCCATACCCTAACTGAAACCTGGCTCTCTCCCTGGACCCAGCCTGTCTCTTGCAATTGTTCACTCTCACATACAACACACCCCCCACGCTGGGGATGGCGATCAGGCACCAAGGGCTCCCCCCGCACCACTTCCAGATCTTTGTTCCTCTACCTGAGTATAGGAAACCTTGCTTCTGGGAAGGCCTCCGCCATCTGGATCTGCTTTCCATTACATCCCTTAATTGCTCCACAAATGGTAGAAAGGACTAATTTTAGCATTTCTGCCATTTGCCAAGTCATAAATGTTGCAGTGGGGATTAATCCCACTTAATCTGGCTGGAATCCTTGGGCTCCCCACCTTCCTGGCTATTTGACCTTTGGAAAGTTCTTTAACCTTTCAGGGCTTCAATATCTCCATTTAGAAAATGGGGATAAAAATGTTTACCGAAGGCAATTGTCATGAATTGTACGACGCAGTAGATGGGAGATCATCATAATAAGCATAAATTATGAATTGAATCTAAATGAAAATACCTTCAACTGTGTGAATGTCATTCACCCCGAGGTAATTAAAGGTTAGCGATAGCTATTTTCTTACTGTTAGAAACTGGTAAAACTATTCTGTATGGCATGGTAATTTGTTAATTATGTATTTGTTAAAACCATAGAAGGTACAACACAATGAGTGAGCCCTTAAGTGAATTATGGACGTTAGTTAATAATGCATTAACAATGGCTCATCAATTGTTACAAATATACAGCATTAATGCAAAAAGTTAATAATAGGGGAAACCAGAGAGGAAAGAATATATGGGGACTCTGTACTTTCCACTTAATTTGTTTGTAACCCTAAAACTGCTCAAAAGCAATCTATTAATGACAACAAAACAAAACAAAACAAAACCCAAAAAACCCTGCTTGTATGAAGCAGGTGTGTTCATGAGTTTATAATTATCAAAGCTGGTATGGGTACATGGGTCCGTCATACATCTTCTCTCTAAATTTTCTGTAGTAATAAAGTTTTCAAAAAAAAGAAAACAGTTTTGTTGAAACGGAGGCTCTTAATCAACCAGAGAAAGATATTTGACAGTATCTCCGAATATCAGGTATTCACTTTCATTCATCTCATATTTCTGGATGACCTATCGATCGCCAGACTCAGTGTAGATGCAGTGAGGGGTTCAAGAAAGGCTTCAAGACATGATGGAGTCCTTCCTCGGGAAGGTGAAATCTTCTTGCACGGTTCAGAAAGCCGCGTGCCACATGAGTGAGCAACACCGAGAACGACTCCAATCCATGCACAAAGCGTTAAGTTCCAGAAGTCCGGAGGAGACCAAATACAAGTTCTGGCGCTACATCCCAAACCTTTGAAGCATCTGAATGCCAGGAGAACACCGTAGGATTTGGACTGACGTTGAAGCACAGGTTGTCACATTCTGTTCCAGCGAGGGTCTTTTTTTTAATCACAAAGGACAGCTGATGCCGAAACCACTCAGTAAGACCGCGTTCTTGAAATGGAAAGTAAGAGAAAGATGAAAAAATATAAAAGCATGCTTTATATTGGGTGCCCCAAATTGGGTGGGATGTTATTTTCTGAGCAGGGCGCAATGCCAAGCTTTCAGTTGTTGTTGAAATGATCATTCAGGTAATTGCTGGCATTAGCCTGTCAGTGTGGGCTCTGAGAAGAGTTCAGATGAGGGAAACAGTTTTGTTTTAGACCAGTGTAAAATAAAAGTGCGTCCGTGCGCACACGTGTTTTATAGATTTATTTTGGCCTTTGAGGCCAAAGAGGCCAACCACTGAGACCTTGTGGAATACTTAGAGTAAATTTCGCCTTATTAGAGAATTAAATGATGGCTCTGCATGAGATTCTAATGTTCTCGGAGAATGTATATATTAAGTGATTTACAAAAAAGAAAACGAGAAAGAAAAGATCATATATTCAGATTTTCATAAAGAAGCTTGAAATTAAACTCTTTGGGAACCAGGAACATTTGGGACTCTGTGCAGGACTATTTGTTATTCTAAAATTAGATTTCGAAATCAAATTTCCTGAAACACAAAGCCAAGGGGGTTGTAAATTTCAAATGTTGGCAGTCTGTGCTGCACACAGGTATCTTCTGATGACTTTTAATTTAGATCTTGGAAAGGAGGGTAGGGATTTGGATCTAGTTAATCTTTCTCTTCTTTAACCTGTGGAGTCTTTTGAATAGTAAATAAACGCTTGAGGATACAGAAGAAGAGTATCTCTACCATGGAACCGCGTTCTCTGACTTCTGAAGGGAGCCCGTAAATCACTTCCTGTGTTGCTCACTGCTGCTAATTCCTAGAAATTTGTCTGGTTTCAAGAAACAAATCCAATAAATCACAGCTTTTATCGGGAGAGGAGAAAGAGAGGTATGTGTGCTGAGCACACATTCAACATAGATGGAGTAGGAGTCAGGTGTGAAGCACAAAGTGCTAGGATTGATGCTTTGCCTGTACCGACTCATTTAATCCCAGCAAGCCAAGGAGCTACCTCTGTTTTCAGAGGAAAAAAACTGAGGGTCAGTTTGTGATGTACCAAAGGACACACAGCTCATAGGTGTGTGAGTATCCAATACGAGATGTGTCTGACCCCCAAAGCCTGGGCTTCCTATTGTGACACTCTCATAGTTTGGGTTTGTTGACTCGGGGTCAACAATTCAAGCAGGGGAGAACAAGTGAGGTTCTTATCTCATTCCCTGAAGGCACTCAGATTATTATTAAAAGGATAATCTACGCAAAGCAAAGCAATGAGCCTCATGTGGGATAATTTGGGGGGTACCCTCTCCTGGCCTGACATACCCTTCTTTCCCCCAGTCTCCCAAAGTGCCATCCATGTACGTTATTGGAAATCCACCATGACATAGTCAATCCTTTGGGTTAAATATTTCTTTCTCTGGGGCGCCTGGGTGGCGCAGTCGGTTGAGCATCCGACTTCAGCCAGGTCACGATCTCGCGGTCCGGGAGTTCGAGCCCCGCGTCAGGCTCTGGGCTGATGGCTCAGAGCCTGGAGCCTGTTTCCGATTCTGTGTCTCCCTCTCTCTCTGCCCCTCCCCCGTTCATGCTCTGTCTCTCTCTGTCCCCCCAAAAATAAATAAACGTTGAAAAAAAATATATTTCTTTTTCTTGGTTCTTTTTTTTAAAAATTGTTTAATGTTCGTTTATTTTTGAAAGACAGAGCATGGGCAGGGGAGGGGCAGAGAGGGAGGGAGACACAGAATCTAACGCAGGCTCCAGGCTCTGAGCTGTCAGCACAGAGCCCGATGCAGGGCTCGAACCCACGAACCATGAGACCATGACCTGAGTCAAAGTTGGTCGCTTAACCAACTGAGCCACCCAAGCGCCCCTCTTGGTTCTTCTTTGTTAAAGGAAAATACACCCAAGGAAAGATGGCATATTAGTCATTAAGACCACAGTCTTCATAGTCAATTAATTCCATGCCATTTCCTTTCTCAGAAAAGACTAGAGTATTCCAAGTTAGTAGGAGAGGAAAGATACGCTGTTTGCCTTCACAGCCTGGGACTGTGAATTTCTAAGGGTACCGGGGTAAGACAGCTAGGAAATTGGTAACAGAGAAGAGGTTAGTAAACTAGTTCTGATATTAGAATAAAAATTGTATGTTCGTCGGCAAAGGCCTTCACAGTTTTAGAAAAAGCCCTTAGTTATTGCTTAGCCTTATAGCAACATTACAGTGTAATGAAATTTTGTCCGGGAATCCTGCTGGGTGACCACCAGGTACCGGCTCACACAGGTAAGCATATGCGGTGACTTGAGACTGCTCAGACCCCACGCTGGGTGCTTTATAGGTCTCTCAGCATTCTACTTTCATAGTGACACTGACAGGTTATTAGACCCTCTGTACAGATGTTATTAATAATAATCACCACCATCTCCAATTATAGGAAGAGACAGAAGCCAATTATTTTGTAAGTATAGCTCATTTTACAGACAGAAATAAAACCAGTGTTTAGGCATCATTGGCATATGGAAAAGTACTGAATTTTAAGCCAAAAACCTGTTTTCAAGTTCCAAGTTTACCTTAACAAGCTGTTTACCTCGAAGCTGGCCATTTTACTTGAAGCCTCAGTTTCCTTATCTATAAAAATCTTCCTCCCAGAACTTTCAGATGAATTAGTTAGTCTGGTTTATTTGGGGCAACAGTTCAGCACAGGGACCCAGAAGAAGAGGCTAGGCAGGGAAAGGAAGATTGTTGATCCTCAGTAGAAACCCCTGGCTTATCTCACAACTTGGCTCAAGGCCAATCCTCCCCTTAATATCTTCTTTATCTCATACACTTCATTATGTTTCCTTACCCAGCTCCGTCAGATTTCTATAAAACTGTCAAACAAAGGCTTAAAAGAAACTTACATTCTTGATATTACGATCTCTCAAGTGTATGTGCCACTTATAGATAAACAATATGAAAATGACAGTATCTCAGGATTCGTCGGAGGGAACATCAGGTAAACAAAAGCAGAACATCTGTAAATAAAAATCAAACCCATTCATTTCGGTGGGCGAATGACGTAATTGCACTGCATATCTGGATTCCTCACCAAATAAAAAATGGACAAAGGCAGAGGAAATAACCCAAAGAGGTGTGCTGTAAGATTATCCAAACAGTAGATACTTTCCCAGCAAAGCACCCAACGTTGATGAACTTTACCAGTAATACTGAGGCTAGCTCCTCTGGTCCTGAACTTTGAGGTCTAAAGCTCTAGTCCTCTCCACACCTTCCCTGTGGCTAAATGGAGCAGGGAATTTTCTGGGATAGTTCCACGATGGCTACCCACGGCAAGCTGTTCTCCATGGGAGATCAAGATGGCAACTATAACATGAAGTTGCCTCCTTGAATCTAGACCTTGCAATTCTACGAGGCAGCTTAGAACGTAAGCATGTCAGGGGCACCTGGGTGGCTCAGTCGGTTGAGAGTGCGACTTCAACTCAGGTCACGATCTTGTGGTTTGTTGGTTCGAGCCCCGCATTGGGGTCTGTGCCCACAGCTCAGAACCTGGAGCCTGCTTCGGGTTCTGTGTCTCCCTTTCCCTCTGCCTCTCCCCTGCTCATGCTCTCTCTTTCTTTCTCTATCAAAAGTAAAATAAGCATTAAAAATCTTTTTTAAAAGAAAGTAAGCATGTCAGTAAGCAGCGGCGATCCCGCTGGGGTTAGCTTGGGCTGCCCTCATCTGAGGGCTTGACGGGGGCCGTGAGATCTGCTTCCAAACTCCCTCACAGGGAAACTGGCTCATATTCTAATAAGTTCATTATGGACTGACTCTCTTAAAAGAAATCTAGAAAGGTAAGTGATTTCCAGGCTAAGGAAGGAATTCAACAGAAAAATCGTGCTCTTGGGGCACCTGGGTGGCTCAGTCGGTTGAGCATCCCACTTCAGCTCAGGTCACGATCTCACGGTCCGTGAGTTCGAGCCCCGCGTCGGGCTCTGGGCTGATGGCTCAGAGCCTGGAGCCTGCTTCCGATTCTGTGTCTCCCTCTCTCTCTGCCCCTCCCCCGTTCATGCTCTGTCTCTCTCTGTCTCAAAAATAAATAAACGTTAAAAAAAAAAATTTTTTTTTTAAAAAGAAATCGCCTTTCCAGGGAACTAAGCACAGAAATTCCTGCAAGTGTTAATATGGCTTTATTTCAGGAGACTCTTCAGAATCCCACCGTTCTAATCACCAGGCTTTGAATCTGGAGGGAAAATACACTCTCTAACCAGCTATTTGAATGCCCATGGACTCAGCTTGCTTTCGAGGGAGACTTGGGGGCAATCTGGCCCACCGCAGTGGGAACAATAAGCAAAGTGGGGAAGGAGAACGACCAAGAGAAAGACCTCTGGGGAGCACTTTGAACTTTTTGAACACACCTCACAATGAGATGAAGCTGTAACATGCTGATTTTCCAAAGTTCCTAGAGCGAAGATGTAATGGGGGGAGGGGGAGGGCGGGGAGAGGAATCACGTGTTCTTAAACGAATCAATACACATGTTTACTAGTAACAAAATGAAACACGCTTGCTTTTGAAAGGCTAAAAAGCCTTCTTCAGATAAAAAGAGAGGGTGTTGTTTCTTTATTTGTGTCAAGCCTGATATTACCACAGAACATCATGGGGGGCACCTGGGTGGCTCAGTGGGTTGAGCGTCAGACTCTTGATTTCAGCCCAGGTCATAATCCCAGGATCATGGATTGAGCCCGAGGTGGGCTCTGAGCTGAGCATGGAGCTTGTTGGGATTCTCATTCTCTCTCTCTCTCTCTCCCCTTCTTTCGCTGCCCCTTCCCCCCTCCAAAAAAAGCACACATGCACAAACACACACAACGGCAGAATATCACTGAAAAAAATTGCCAGTAGAGTGGAGTGGAATACCAAACTGGAAAACAATGGTGTTCTTCTTCCTGTGGTGCCCATGTGGAGGATTTTGAACAAACTCATCAAGAGTTGTGAATTACATCATTCCTCCTCCACACTCACTAATAGGTGTTTAGAGATCAACTTCTTGCACACACATTCCTTTTCCTGGTTGATTTTTATGTGAAATATTTATCCTATGTATCTATTCCTTAATAACAGCCCTTTCAAGTCTTGGACTGGGTTAAGGATCTCTAAAAAGTCAGTTTCATTAATAATTTGGTTAATGTCCAAATACCCTACAGTTTGCACCAATAATTTATCGTAAATTCCGTGTACAAAAATATAAGGCAAAATAAAACCCCTTGTGACATCACCATTCAAAGATAACCACTGTTAATAATTTAGTGTATTTCTACTCAGTTTCTATTTCTTAAGTTTATTTATTTATTTTGAGAGAGAGAGAATGAGCAAGGAAGAGGTAGAGAGAGAGGGAGACAGAGAATCACAAGCAGGTTCCGCACTATCAGTGAAAAGCCAGACATCACGGGCTCAATCCTACAAACCGTGAGACCACGATCTGGGCCAAAATCCAGAGTCCAGATGGTTAATTGATGGAGCCACCCAGGTGCCCCTAGTTTCTATTTCTATCACATATTTGTATATGCTGATGCCATGTGTCTGAACCTTGTTTCATTCTGCATCAAACTTATCATTATAATATAGGTATCTTCCCATATCAATTTTTCATAAAATATTTAAAGTCCTATAATATTTCATTTTTAATTTTAAGACAGTATATATTTTTTTATTTTTCTAAGTTTATTTGTTTTGAGAGAGAGAGAGAGAGAGAGAGCAGGGGAGGGGCAGAGAGAGAAGGGAGGAGAGAATCCCAAGCAGGCTCCACACCGTCAGCACCAAGCCCCACGCAGGGCTTGAACTCATGAACCTTGAGATGGTGACCTGAGTTGAAGTCAGGGTCAGACGCTTAACTGACTGAGCCACCCAAGAGCCCCAAAAGTCAAATAATATTCCTTTTTATGAATTTAAAATATTTTATTTAACCCACTTTTTATTGAAAAGTGTATAATTTTTATCTAAAACTTTTTTTTCTAATGTTTTTTTTTTTTTTTTTTTGTTTTTTTTTTTTTGGGTTTTTTTTTTTTTTTTTTTGGTTTTTTGCTGCATCATTTCCTAAAGAAATTTTCCTGGGAGTAAAAGCACAAAGCCCAATAATGTAATCTTTCTCCAGATTTATAACCCAGTACCCTGTCATCAGCAGTGTGAGAAGGTGTCTGCTCTCACACCCAAGCACTTAGAGAGTACCCTTCACTGAATCCCTGTATTCCCGCCAAGTATTCTAATATTCTCCCTTGTTCCTTTTTCTTTTCCATTTCTTTTCTCCTTGAAATTCATCTTAAGCTCTGCTTTACTGCTTTGTGTTTCTTTGTTCACTAGAGCAGTTAAACATTTTTTTTTTTTTGGTCAGATTTATTTCTCATTTACAGTCTTCTTATGTAAAACATTTTCTCTAGTTTACTCTGGAAATAGCCTTTATGTGGCTTTGCCTTTTGGCTGGTGTCAAAACATGTTTAGAACCAGTTCCAATAAATGTATACATTCTCTTTCAAAAGAGAATTCTCTGAAATTTAGTTATTGAGATTATCAATAATCATAAGAATTGACAAAAGTCCAGAACTGATTATTTCTCTAATGTCGGTGTTGTAACAAAGGTCCACATAGTGCATTGATTCAATGATATTATAACATTTTGCAGGATAATTGGCAGCTGGAATTATAAATTCCTGTAGCACATCATGAATCTTGTGCCCCTTATCGTAAGAACTCTTACTGCTACTTATTTTGAAATAATATTTTAAAATCAGAATTAAAACTACAGTTTTTTTTTTTTTCTATATTGCATCTCAGGATAGTGTCCTAAAGATCAACTTGGCTGTGAGTTTTTGGAAAAGCCTAGCCCCAGGTCATGCTATTCCTGCGTGCCAAAATAACTTGGCTGAGAAATGCTGGATAAGGGGCACCTAAGTGGCTCACTTGGTTGAGTCTGATTTTTGATAATGGCTCAGATCATGATCCCACAGCTCCTGAGTTCAAGCCCCCCATCATGCTCTGCACTGACAGTGTGGAGCCTGCTCGGGATTCTCTCTCTCCCTCTCTCTCTGCTCCTCCCCCGCTCACCTTCGTTCTCCTTCTCTCTCTCTCTCTCTCTCTCTCTCAAAATAAATAAAAACAGAACCTTAAAAAAAAACCAGAAGTACTGGATAAGATTCACTCATGTCGGATGAAACTCTGCCTCTGGCACACATCTGGCTGCATCAGAAAATGTTCAAAGAACATGAGAGAGGAAATTATCAATTAAGAAAGACCATTTTCGCGTTTACTAAAATAGAGCTTCTTCCCCAAATAGGGCTCAGATCTTCAGAATGTAAGCCAGAACATGCCACTCCTCTCCCGGGCTCCTGCACTGGCTTTCCATTTCACTTGGAGTAGAACTGAGGCCCCACACCCGTTCCCTCCCTCAGCGTGTCTACCTCTGCGATCTCCTCCCTGCCTCCACCTCCCCTCCGTCCCGTGCGTTCGCTCTGCTCCAACCACTCTGGCCTCTGGGCTGCTCCTGGAAGAAGTGAAGCAAACACTTAGCTCAGACTGAGAACTGGTGTCACCTGTTGTCTGCCTGAACCTGCTTCCCCTGGACATTCCATGGGGCCAGTGCTTGCCTACTCTTTCTGATACTTGCTCCAGTGTCACTCTCTCGGTGAGTCCCACCTGGTTCCTTATTTAAAATTGCAACGTACCCTGTCCTCCCATTCTTCTGATTCCCCTTACCCTACTCTACTTCTTCCCCCCATGACAATTATCGTCTCACATCATATATAATTCTTTGTAGTGTTTATGGTCAGTCTTCTTGTTAGAATGGAAGTTCCAATCAGGCAGGATTTTTGTTTGGTTTGCCAGTAGGTATCTCAAAGACTTAGGACAGTGCCTGATGAACAGTAGACACTCAAACAATTTTGGTGGAATGAAAAGAAACCATGTTGAAAGGGAAATACAAATAAAGAGCGCGCTATGGATGGCATTTGACTGGGTAACTAGAGGAAGTATATGACCTGGTCTTATGTC